CTATCAAAATTTTAGTGATTTTTCAGCTTTTTGTGTAATTATTTCGAGAAATAAGTTGAGAAAACAGTGTGCATAAAAATGTTCAGCAGAATAAATTGAACAAAATTAGTTTTCTTTTTTAAAACGGCGGCGTGGCCAGCTGCTACCCTAAAGAAAATGCCTAACGTTTTTTATTCAATTTATTTTTTTGATAAATCTAAAACCAAACGACGGAGACAGCTGCGACACGTCTTAAATTGAAGAAAACACTACTATGAACATTTTAAAATATGAATTAGCTCTACAACATGTCTGGTTTTAAAGATGTGATAGAAATATTGGCAACTGCTTTTCACACATTTAAATTTTGCAGAATCGGAAAGTGGTTGTCAATATTTCTATCACATCTTTAAAATCAGACATGTTGCAGAGCTGATACGCATTTTAAAATGTTCATAGCAAATGTTTTCTTCAGTTTAAGACGTGTGGCAGCTGTCTGCGTCGTTGGGTTTACGATTTATCAACAAAACAAAATGATGTAAAAACGTTACGCAATTCCTTTACGGTAGCAGAGTTACCTGGCCACGTCGACGGTTAAAGTGTACTTTGAAGACCTCGTTTTAGACTCAATACATAAAGAATTTTCTGCTCTATAAAATCTTCTATTTCGCATAGATACACTACGGTGTTTGGCTAGTCCTTAATTCCTGCTTCTTTCAAAATCTCACGTTGTCCAAAAAGTGCAAATGAACTTGTGTACTGGAATTTTCACGATTTTTACGATGAAGTAGCTTAGTTAGAATGATAGCTTTAATCTGCTGAACATTTTTATGCACACTGTTTTCTCAACTTATTTCTCGAAATAATTACACAAAAAGCTGAAAAATCACTAAAATTTTGATAGTAAACCGCAGTTGTGCTTGCATCACATCTGTTCTCACCACTTTTTTAAATAAGGAAATAATATGTAGTAATTTTTATAGAGCAGAAAATTCTCTATGTATTGAGCTTAGGCCACGAAGTCTTCAGAGTACATTTAAGCATCTTAAAAAAAGAAAACTGATTTTGTCCCATTTATTCCATTTAGTCCACTCATTAAATCGATTGTGGCATCATTCACATGGTTTCTGTCTTTTAGCCCTATGTATTTGATCGTGAATATTATATTGAATTAACAAAATCAATGTCTGTCAATGGTTATCATGTATTTTCATCCATTGTGGAAAAATTAATCGATTACAAAAGTAGGTGATGAAATAATTTACTATTACTTACGAGACAATCGCACCAACTGAGTTAAAACTTTCCTACATATATTCTGCTGGTAGAGAACTAGAAGAAAAAACAGCTTAACTGGATTTAAGTAAATTAATGAAGAGTTTTATTATTTAAAGAGGCTTATGCACTACAATTTGTTTCTTTCATATCTTGCCGATGAAAGAACTGTTACATAAAAAGTTTTAGCGTTTTATCTTTATAAGAAAAAGAAGGGCAAATTCTTCGTTTTTACACGGTTTTACCGTAACAATTTTATAAGTAAACATTTGTTGTACGGCTATAGAGTTATGTTTTTTTTTGTTCGTAAACACCACATTCTTATAGAAATAATATAGTCTAGTACGACTATATCGTATTTATATGCACTTTGAATTCTCTTCTGTAGCGTTAACAGCATACATTTTGAAGTTACCGTAATAGCTCTAAGAGAGGAAGAAGAAATTGTTTTATATTTATTTATCGTGCTCATCTCGTTCAAAAATAGGATGGATTCTGTGCGGCGAAAGAGAAAAATAAAAAATTGTGAGAAATTTGAGAACAATGGGTAACAGTTCCATTGTTTGTCTCCCAAACTCAAAATGCAGAAAAAACTGAAATTTTTAGAAAGACTTCAAGAAAGAAAGAATTGAAAAGGATAGTCCAGACATAACAAAGTTGTAACCTCTTTAAAAAATAAAACTGTTCATTTTTCTTCTGATCGAAGCAACATGGACACAAATCCATCCAGTTAAGCTTTTCTTTTCTAGTCCTCTACCAGCAAAATATATGTAGGAAAGTTTTTTACTCAATTGCCAAAATTTCCACATTGAGATACTAAGTTTATATATCTCTTTTAGATTTAAATCTCTCATGGGATTATTTTACGTCTAAACTTGAACAATATTTTTCGCAAGAACGTCTTGAACAACAAACATTTCGAACAATAATGGACGATATTCAATTGAAAATGACAAGTGGTGGAGCAGGACATGATCAACGAAAACAATTAGGTAAAATGAAGAGATAAGAGAGATATTTTGATATTTATTTATTTATTTATTTTTCACTCTTTAGATCTAGAAAGTTATTTATTGATTGACGATATGATTGTTGAAGCAAAGAAATTTGTAACAAAAGTTGTTTATAATTGGAATATTATTTTACAAGAATTAGAACATGTACTTAAAAAATATGATAAAGAAAAGAAAGAGGCAGCAAAACAGAAAACAACAAAAGAAAAAGAGAAAAAAGAGGAAGAAGAGACATTGCAAGTAAGTGAAAGAATGATCACTAACTGATCTAAACTATTGTGACAAGAAGATACCGTAGTTTCTGTAAAGCTTCAACTTTCATCTATATTGGAG